AGATCCAGCTGGTAGTGTTAAAGAGGACTTGAAATCATGCATGTTACTCCCACGCCTTCAGAGTCTCTGTTTTGCCACCCCAGGTGTGTGCTGTGGATGGAGGAGGAGGTGGAGGCGGAGAGCGAGGTGGTGTGTGTGTGTGTGTTAGGGTAGACTTTTCGTGCCACATGGAATGCAATTCTAGCTGCTGCCGCGCTCCTGGCTGCTTCTTCCCCACACGCCCACGCGCGCCCACCCCCAACCTGCAGAGGGGCCTGGGGAAGACAAGTGTTTTACGGAGAAAAAGTTGGATCTGGAAGCGAAGGGTGTGTTTCTGGGTGCTCGTGGAGCAGTTGAGTGCCAGCCTTTTGTCACCCCTACCCCTCTGAGGACGGCTTCCCCCCTACCCCAAGGCTCGGGCGAGAACGTGTGCCTGTGTACGTGTGTGTACGTGTGAAATGCGGCGGCACCGGCCGCGGCGGAGTACGCACTCGGCAAAAATATGAATAATCAACACATCTCTCACACCTCGGTCGCAAGCCGGGAGAGAGCTGGAGGTCCCGCGGGCTTTCCCTGCCGGCTGCCGCGGGGCGCTGACGTCGCGGAAAAGGAAAAGGGGGGGCGGCTCAGCGTAGCTCTTGCTTATGCTTCTCTTCAGCTGAGCCCAGAAACCGCAAAAGAGAGACTCATCTATTTTTGCTTTTTTTCCTCTTTGAAGGCCCTTTCCAAGCCATCTTGCGTGAAAAAGGACAACTTAAGATTTTAGCCCCCCTTTTTTATCAGTAGAGACCCCACTGGCCATCTCCCATCTTCATTTTGCTGATCTGCAAAATGGGGATAAACAATTCCCACTTGAGAGGGAGCTGTCAAGTGTAAGCGTGAGAAAGCACTTGGGTTGCTGCTATGGAGAAAGTCTTGGCGAATGTCAGGTCTCTCTGTTCCTTTTCTTCACCTTCCATTCTCGGAGACCTGCTGGCCAGGGTCTCGGAATGCCAAGAGAGTCGATTGTCTCCTATCTCTGTGCCTTGGGTGCGGTTGGCGATGGGATACCACTGCCTTCGGGCGTGGATTTCTGTCAGGAAGAGGATTTGTTCCCTTGACCTTGAGTTTTCCTGCCTCAACCTGGCCTCCCTCATTTTGTATGTCTGGAATGAAGGGGAATGAGGAAGGGAGAAGGAGCAGGAGAGGGGAGAAGTGGAGAGAGAAGAGAAGGTGGAGAGGAGGCGGCGGCGGAAGGGAAGAGAGGAGGGAGAGACTTTCCACAGTTGCCAAGTGCTAGAATTAAATCTAGCCTGGCTCCTTCAATCCACTCCGGATAAATTCAGGGCAGTCCCCGATGACGTGGGCACATCATGCGTATGTAAAAACCTCCCGTGCCTCAGTATTTGTGTAGCTGTTCCCACTCGAGTCGTTCACTATATAAAAACAAAATAAACAGGTTCACTTCTTGCTCGAGTGTCCTAAAGTAAACTGTTGGGTGTGAGTGTCGAGTCCTCTGCGGATATTTGTCCTGTATGCATGGTTAGAGTACTTCCTTCCCACCCCTTTTGCCTTTTCTGGGGAATTTGCATTTTTAGAATACACAAGTCTAGTTTCCGATAGAAAAAGGCCAAAGTTGCAGTGGAGAGCGGAAGTTTATGAATTTGGATATTTGAAAAATCATTTCACGGACTGTGGATTCAATCGTCAGGAGGGCTCGTAATTGGGGGGGAGGCTATTTATTTCTAGTTGGACAAATAAAGAGCAAGAGTATTAGTTTATTTTTATCTTTAAAACCCAAACTGGAAATTTCTCTTCCAGAAAGAGGCAATGGGACCACCGCTTATTTGGTTTACACAAACCTGACTGGCGGTCCCGGTGAATCGAATTCCTCCACATTCGTCCAGCTGCGTGCTTAGACTGTGTGGACCGAGGCGCCACCGGCCTGTGTGTCTGGCGGTGCGGGTGCCCGCCTGTGGAGAGGGTTCCGACACCTCGAAATTCACTCGGGGCCCACCTGACAAGAATGCTTCCTACAAAGTGACTTTAAAGAAAAATTTCCTGGTCTCTGGCTGGGAGTCCAGGAAGACTGGGCCGGACACCGCTGGGCAAATGGGCCTTGGTACCAATTAGGAGGCGGTGGAACGCATCTCCCCGAAGTGTAGGCTTTGGGGAGGCGCTGGGAAAACTTCTTAGTACATATTTAGGGAGGGTGAACCCCGCGCAGGGTAAAAGAATGTCAATTTCACCGCCCCAGTTTTATGTAAATAGATCGTTATGTAGGATTGCAAGTGAGCATTTTGGATTCGTCTAGACGTGGTGAGGGGGCTGAATGGAGCTCGCGCGCGCGGGCTGCGCACCCCAGCTCTTGGCTTCCCCGGACGCTGATCGCAGCTGCGCCCTCTGGCCCCGCAGAGCTCCCGGAAGATTTGGGGCTGCAGATTTCTTGATAAGGAGGGCGGTTCTGGGGGAGCCAGAGGCGGCACTGATACATGCAGCCTTTCTGGCGCGCGCCAGCCGAGCCAACCTTTGTGGCTCCAATCTTGGGTGTCCAACTCTGCACCCACCCCGCCCCAAAACCTACACAATATAGAATTCATCTCAACTCGTTAGGGGGAAATGCTCCCAGCTCGCCGAAGCGCTTTCCGCTGGGCCCAAGCCGCGCTTCCTTCGCGGCACTTGTTTGGGAGTTGTCAAAAAGGAACTTCCGTGCTCGGGACGAGCCACCCGCAGCCGCGTGTCACGCGTTCCCCCCAACGCCCTGAGCGCAGCCGGGCTGGAGCAGTGCTCCACCCAGTCCGAGTCCAGGGCCATAGCGGACCTCCCAGCGGGCAGCACCCGGGTCCTGAACTTGTCGCTGGGGTGGGGGGGTGGGGATGCGGGACCGAGCGTGACGGTCTGCTTTGGGAGGTCAGCAGGAGCTGGGAGAAAGGAGCAATTCATCCTTTTCCTGAGGGGCATAATTCGGGTGGCAGCTGTTACTGGTGAGAAAAGCCGGCATCCTCGACCCTGGTTCTGCCCTTTAACCCAAGTCAACCCGAGCCTGGGGGCAGATCGTCCGGACTCGGTCAGGCCCACTCTCACCCACGGCCCCTCGGGGTGCTTTGAGCACCTTTGCCGCGCAGCATTGAGGTGCAGTGGGTGGGGGAAAATATCACCAGGCTTAGTGGGCGTCTTGGAGGGCTCGCTGGCTTGTCTGCATTCTGCTGAGAAACTAAGGCCTTGGCTCCGATGGGAGCCAACTCCAGGCTTGCGAGGGAGTTTGGTGTGAGTGGAGATTTGGAGAGATTAACAAAAAGAGCCGGCTGGGGTAGGAGATCTGGGGGGTTGGTGTTTTCAGAAGCTGACTTTATCCAGAAAGCCTGCAGAGAACTGTGGAGTTGGAAAACAGGATAGTCAATTTCAAACCTACAGTCTCCGCTGCCTGTTTGGGCAACTCTTTTTTTGTTTTTTTACAACCCACTTGTTTCATTGGCTAACCCCCACTTGGACTGCATGTCAGCCCTCACCTTTCCTTGTCCTACTGGGAAGACTACGCTAGGACCTTGGGTTGGGGCAACACAGCTTACCCAGAGGTGGGATTTCACCTCCTCTCCTCTGCCCCCAAATCCACTACCTCAGTTCTTCCACTGGGGTCTGTGCAGAGAGGGTCCCCCCACACCAATCCATTTCTAGGTGAATCTCTACAGTGGAGGCCAGCGGTTGGGGTTTGCAGGTTGCCCCTAGGAGTGAGAAGCAGGCCAGCGCACGGGTCCCTTTCTTCGGGGAGCCGTAGTCTGTGAAGGCGCCAGCCTTCTGACTGCCCAGGCAAACGCGCTGCACAGCGCTGTGTCCTCTAGTGGCAAACTCTCTTAGTCCATTTCTGAGCGCTCACCTACACCTAGGGATCTGGTCGGGAGTCACTAGACGCGCAAATTTGAGTCCTAAATTGGGGGAAGTCTCCTGCAGATCATCCAGGCTTTCGCCAGTGCCTTGCGCGTAACGAAGTCGACTAGCCGGACGCAGGCGTTCGAACTGCCGAACAGCTGAATGTCTCCTCCACGGCAGATGGTCTCTGCGCACAGATTTGCATTCATTGTCTTCAAATCTGTTTTCGCACTGGTGTTCTAGATTTCAGCAACAGATCTACGCACAGATCAGAATACAAAAAGACAGGCAAGAAAATAACACCCAGCCAGGAGGATTTTTTTTTTAATAGGCACCGCGAGCCGCCCGCGCAGTTATAAAGCAGTCTAGGGTTTCAGCTATTTGGTGGGCGCAGCCACCGACTCCCGGTCACCAGCCCGCGGCCAGCACCGCTGCCACCGCGTGCGGGGACAAAGTTCTCGCGACTCTCACGTCGCCCCAGGGCTCGGGGGACTTGGGAAGAGCCCCCCCCCCCGTCTGCGCCCCGGCCCGATGCGCACTCCGCGCGCCGTGATCCGTCAGCAGCCTCTCCGCGGTTGGGCTGGGCGCACTCCTGACCGCGCCTGCCCGGGTGTTTTCTTTCCCCGACGCCGTATTTATTTGAACAGCGCTCGGAGCCCCGCTCGTCCACACCCCACTCCCGCCTCTCTTAACAGCGTGCAAACCGCACACCGCATCGGAGTGTCACCGTGGAACTTCACGAGGCCTGGGGGGCCGGGGGACTTTGGTACAGAACCTAAGCACATGTGGACGCCCGGTGCACGCCACACGCGCAGATCCGAACTCCAGGCGTGCAGGCGCCTCCCGGCTACCAAGCCCTGTACCGAGAGGCAAACCCGCGGGGGCTTCCTACCCCGGAGCCAGCGCGTTGCCAGCCCCGCACTGCGGCAGCGAAGGCTTGGAGGCTCCCAGACCCTCTCGCCACACGCGCAGGGTTCGGCAAGGACGCGGCGCCCGCAGCTTTCTGTCCCCTTTCACCTCCCGGACTCCCGGCAACGCAGAGCGTGGCGCGCGCCGCCGCCGGAGGACGTCGGTCCGGCCTGCCCGGTACCGGCCAATCCTGAGCGTGCATGCAAATGAGGCTCCTTATCGGGCCGTGGCTCCGCCTCCCGCGGTCAGGGCCGTAGTAACCCATTCATGGGGCCCGCGCGCGGCTGCAGCCCGGCTCCGCGGCGCTCGCAGCCACCGCCTCCTCTCGGCTCCGGGTCTTCCCCTTCCTTTTACAATTGATCCTGTTGGGATTTTTTTTCTCTCTAAATTGGATCTGTAGGGAGGAGCGCGGGGGAGGGGGTGGGGGGAGCCAGGAGGAAGGGGGAGACCAGGCAGCTATCACTCTCCTGTTTCTCCCAGAACAGGTGATGCTCTGAATTGGGGCCACTTTCTGGAAGCAGCTCTGCCGCTGGAAGGATGCGCGAGACCTAGGGCGCAGGGCCGGGGCGGAGGAGCTGAGCACGCGGAGGGAGGGCGAACCCCAACTTCGGCAGGCCGCGCTGCAGCCCGCACTCGCCAGCGAAGAGAAAAAGACGGGTTATTTCTACTACTATTATTAAATTATTTTTTCTTCCAAGAGGGACCCGAACTTTGGCACTTGATCCCTTGCCTTGGATTGCTTTGGAGGACGCAGCTTCCCGGCGGCGTTGGGAACAGTCGCGACTGTGTTGTTTGTAACTCATTTTCATTTAAAGCGACCGTAGAGGATCAGACTTTTTAAATGTTTGGGATTCAAGATACTTTAGGAAGAGGACCAGTTCTGAAAGAGAAAGCGCTGGGCGCCGAGATGGATTCGGTCAGGTCCTGGGTCCGGAATGTCGGCGTGGTGGACGCCAATGTCGCGGCGCAGAGGTAACAAGGAGTCGGCCTCGCCGAGACTGCGCTCTCGGGCTGTGTCTCTGTCTGTGTGCCCTCCCTTCCCCGTCCCCGTCTCTCCTTTACTCTGTCCCATCTGTCGCCCCACCCCGCGCACTGGGGCTGTTCCGCCCGCGGCCAGGTCGCCTGTCCTAGGGAACACTTTCCAGGTAGCCAGGCTGGAGTTTCGGAACTACCTGGGTGTTTTGTGTTTTTTTCCCTTCCTCTCCTTTCCTGTATTTCACTTTCAGGGATAAAATACAAAGTAGCATCTAGGGCCTCGCACCTTAGCCTACTCCTGCGAGCCTGAGAATCCTGGCTGGCAGCTCGGCCAGTCGACCGGAGACGGCTTCCCGGCCCCTCCCTGGGTTTTCCAGGCCGCCTGTGAGCGCCTCTCCTCGCGCATCTCGCCGGTGCTTCCTGGAGACCCCGAGCCCGGCTGCCAGATGGTGGCGGCGGCGAGAGGAGCTGCGGAGGCCTATGCCGTGGCCCGGGAAGGCGAGGCAGCCGAGAACTCTGAGAGTTGGGGGTACAAGTAAAGCGTCCCGCGCAGAGAGACAGACAGACAGACAGACAGACGCACGGAGGCGGGAAGAGAAGACCTGAAAAATGAAGGAGACGGAGAAGGAAGAGACACAGGGACCGCAGCCTCCAGTGCTCGCGCCACTAAAGTTGACGTTGTTCCGAGGGTCTGCGTGCGGGGCTGGTGAAAACCTTGTCCAAGGTGCCAGCCCACAAAGACACTGCGGTGTCCCTGTCTCCACCACCTCTGAGCTGGGATTTGTGGCCTCCACGTCCCGATCTGCGAGCGCAGCCTGAGCCCATGAACTTCCTCCTGGACTCTCGCCTCCCCATGGGTGCTCGGGGCCATCGGTCTCGCCTGTTGACCTCGCACAGAGGAGAAAGGACCCCTTGCCCAGAGGAGCCGCGTCTCCAGGTGTCCCGGCTAGAGCGAACCGGCCGCCAGTCTCGAAGCAGAGGACGCAGCAGGCACAGCGTCTGGGAACCAGGACCTGGACCTCGTCCACGCCGGAGCAGGACGCGTCGGTGTTCCCGCGGCGGACAGCGCAGCGCGGTGGCGGCGGCTTCGGGCGGCGGCGGCGGCGGCGGCCTGGGGACTCCACCCGGTTGCAGGCGGAGGGAGCGAGGCACAGCAAGCTCTGCGGCGCGTCGGCTCTCCGGGGCTCCTTGAAGTCACCTCCTTCTCTGTTCACCCTGCCCACAATTCTATAATTTGTTGAAGTCGAATGGCGGCTCGAAATGGGGGGTATCTGAGCCACGACGTTGCACCCTTGAAAAAGAGTGAAAGTGTTGCCCTGGACTGTAGGGCGGGCGACCTCAGCGCCGCAGGGCACCTCGGCATCTGTGCGCCCCAGGCCCTCAGCCCAAGGCGATCCGATGACCGCTTTGACGCTGGCCGTGACAGGTAGGCAGGGAGGGGCGCGCAGACACTGGGGCGCTCGAGATCGCCTCCAGGGACCCCGACCCATTTGGGGCTAGCGGTTTGCCTGGCGCCGCAGGAAGCGCAGCTTGAGCAGCGCGGCGTCGCCTCAGTCTCCGGCGAGATCCCTGTCCGCCTCGGAACACCGTGGCTTCTTCAGCTCTGCGGGCAAAGTTCCCCAGGATCACACCCTCCTCAGTGGCCTGCGGTCTCCAGTGCGGGTCACGGGGATCCCGCTACCCCGCCGGGCTGGCCGGACTGCAACTTTTTGGGAGAGCCAGGGAAGCAGAGGCGCGAGGCCCGCATTGCCCAGGCGCGGGTTCGGGACTTGCAGGCTGCCTCGGGGGTCCTCGCCCGCTGCTGCTGCGTCTCCCGAAAAGGCGGTCCCAACCGAGCCAAGGGCGAGCTTCAAATGCGTACGAGGTGCTCACCCTTCGTGGCCCCGGCGCGGCTCCATATTCTAACGCCTAAGAGGACAGGGACAGCCGACGGGAAAGGACATGGGAAGCCTCTTGGGGAGGAACCGCTTTGGACCTCAGTTGGCCACGGGGCCCCTTGGGTTCCCCTAATGGCGCGTAGTGGGACCCTCGTAAGCTGGGGAGCAGCCCCAGACTCTGGCCCTGACATTCGACCCCACAGCTGCAGCGACTCCTGCTCCTAGGAGTCGCGGCTTCTTCACTGGAGTGATAAAAGACTTACAGGTCCGGGAGGCTGGGCCCGGGTGTGGATCCTCGCCCCTCCGCGGCGTCGTTGGGCACCTTAGTAACACCGTGTCTTTTCTCTCTTTCCTTGTGTCGGGCGCCCTTCTTGTCTCTTCCTGCGCCGCGCAGCGGGGTCGCCCTGTCCCGGGCCCACTTTGAGAAGCAGCCTCCTTCTAACTTGAGGAAATCCAACTTCTTTCATTTCGTCCTGGCGCTCTACGACAGGCAGGGGCAGCCGGTGGAGATCGAGCGCACGGCCTTCGTGGACTTCGTGGAGAACGACAAAGTGAGTGGACCCTTGCCCCCCCCCCGCCCCAGTCTGGTAACCCCCTCCTTGCGCAGAGCTAAAGATTCCATCTGTCACAAGGCGACACTTTCCCTCTAGCATCATCAGGGATGATAAATCGAGGCTTCTCACCCCCAGCCTCTAAATCAGTCGGTTTGCCCGCTCCTCATCCCACCTCCCACTGGCGGGATGCCTCAGGGGCTCGGGCTGTGTTCCCCAGCCGTGGGGTTCTTCAGCAGTGAGGTGAATGTTGACCACTGTCCGAAGGCTCTTCCCACCGAATTTAAAAGGACACTCAAGGCCTCAGCCGCTCTTCTCTGAGTTGATTTTATTATTTTCACCTGCCAGATGGGTCCGAGTGGGGTTAGACTCAGCCCTGCGGACCCCTCAGCCCAGCCTTGGCCCACCTGCCTTCTCTCAGGCGCTCCTCTCCAAGGCTGCACCTCCTTCGGGCTCAAGCCCAGATTTGGGGGCTGGATTTGATCTAAAATAAAGAACAACCTATGTACCCTCTTGCCTCCCTATCCAAAACCATAGGTGACCAAAGGAAAATCTCCTGCCCCTGCAGGGTCTCAGTCTCCCTGGTTATACAGTGAGTTTCAGAGCCTCCACTTCCAAGCTGCCTCTTGAATCTGGAGCTCAGCTCGGCTCCAAGCTCAGGGCCTCCGCGGCAGCGGCGCTCCAGGTGGCTGCCTTTCCAAATGACAGGTCCCTTCACCCTTCTGTCAAGAGTCGCCTAGGGGCCTCCTAAGGGTAGACAGAGCAGATGGGTTGGGTGGGGCCTGTTTAAAGGCAGTGTTGGTGGGGTGTCCGGTTATCATACTGGAGTGCTGTACACTTCTGGCGACGTTTTTAAGGGGCAGAGACAGAGGGTTGGAGGAGGTCAAGTGGCTGTGGGCCATGACAAGTTCTGAGGTGGCTAGTGGCACCCAGTGTGGCAAATGCTTCTCTGCTCTGGCCCGTGGCTGGGCAGAGGGGGTTGTTCAAGGTGGTTGGGAAGGGGTATGGAGAAGCGGCACTCTTTCTTGTTTTCCTAATTTTTGGGGTTAGGGGAAAGCCAGGAAACCCAGTGCCTTCTGTCTTTCCAGGAGCAAGGCAACGAAAAGACGAATAACGGCACCCACTACAAGTTACAGCTCCTCTACAGCAACGGTGAGCCTGTGGGGCAGGCGTGTGCAGTGCTGCTGACGTACACACTGGCAGGGACGGCTCTGGATGGGGAACAGGGCTGCAGGAGGTTCAGTTGGGGCTGCGGATTGGGAGGGTCTCTGTCACCGTGGCAGCTCAGCCTGGGCACCACCATGGAGGGGGACCGGTGTAGGAGAGGAGCACCGCGCCCCCTGACCCCTGTTGGGTCCCCTCTCCTGCAGGCGTCCGCACGGAGCAGGACCTCTATGTCAGGCTGATCGACTCTGTCACCAAGCAGGTGAGTCCCGTGGGCCACTTGGCTGTTTCTTGGCCTCCTCTGCCCCCCCCCCCACCAACCCGCCATGCTTCTCTAGACTGGATCTCACACTCCCTCCCCATCACCCTAATCCTTGCCCACTCTGGAGGGAAAATATCCCCAACTTCTCCAGTCCCTTGGTCTGTGTGGCTTGGGGAGACGCTGGGGTCAGAGGGAAGTGGGCAACGAGGTGAGAAGAACTCATTGGAGGTTCAGCCCCGCTCCCCCAAGCATTCCTTTTGGCTAAGAACTCTGGGACAAACTTTTCTATTACTCAGCCGAACTAAGCTGGCAGCGGCACAGACTGAGGGAACACAGGGACCCCCAAGGAAGTAGAGGGAGAAATAGAAAACTTGTAAGTGCTCTAAAAGTTTGCTCTTTGTGCTCCACCCCATTTCCTGTCTTCCTTGCCCCCCACTCCACCCCTTTGCAGCCCATAGCTTACGAGGGACAGAATAAGAATCCGGAAATGTGCCGAGTTCTCCTGACGCACGAGGTGATGTGCAGGTAAGAGCCACCTTGTCCCTGGGACAACCGGAAAGCTGGGCAAGTGGGCGTATCTGCCCTGATGGCAGGCCTTGAGGGAGCTAAAGCAGCAGGGTGGATTTGCCCAGGCAGATCCACTAAAATCCTTCTTCCTTTTAAGGCCAGTTCCTTAGATCTAGTGGTTAGGGAAGGAAACCCTGCAGATTCAAGGTTCCATCTCCACTGGCACGGGGAGTTCTCAGGCCCTTTGGAAGGTGCCCACTGGCCACGGGCGGCCAGCAGTGCGGGCAGTCCCTAGCTGGCATTGGGCCCCAGTTTGGGATCTGGGACTTTCCTTGGATGCATCTCTAGTGGCAGCTGGGTTCCTGCCCTGCTGGCTTTGGGTAGAATTCCAGCCACTTGTGGAGTTAGTTACTGAGTCCAAGCCTCAGGACCATGCAGAATCCAGGGAGAGAGCCTGAGGGTTGACTGGCCCATTTCCCAGGCACCCTCTGCTCAAGGCACCTGTCTGGGACAGGAGGCATTTCTTTCCTCCTGGAGAAGTCACTTAAAAGAATTTATGTCAGAATGCTTCTCAGGCCAGAAGGATCGGCCCAGGGGAATGGATCAATCCTGCTCTGAGCCGGTGGGCAGAGGGCCAGGGAGATAACCTCATCCCTGCCTGGGGTCTGCAGAAACAGCTGGATCCTGAAGGCCACTGTGTGAAAGCTGCTGGGTTCCTGTCCCTTCCCCATCAACCTTCAGACACAGATCCATTCTGAGATCCTGTGTTTTGCCCTTTTTCTTCTGCATGAGCAGAAGAAAACAAATTAAGAGCGATTTACCCATATACTTACTCAAACGTTTGCTTAGTGTGTGTGAAGTGTGTTGGGTGTTGAGGTCTTATCAAAAATGAGGAGAGAAAAATACTGTGGACAGAGCATGGCTGATTCACCATAAACATTTAAATATCTGTTCTATAAAAGTATTTCTTTCAACCCCACCCCCTAATCCGATTGGAAGGAAAACCTCATTCTTCCTCATTCTGCTTTTGCATCAGAGAGTGTTTCCCAACCCTAGAGTTGCTAGTTTTGGGTAATTACAGGCCATGTCTTAGAAGGGACTATTTCATGGTCAGAGCCCTGAAGTCCTATCTCCCCCACTGGCCTAGGCAAGAAGAAATCCTAACAAGGAAACACTTCTGTTTTGGTTTTGGTTTTGATCAAGTAATAGAAAAACCAACTTGTCAAATGCAAAGTAAAACCCTGCCAGTGACTTTTGCTGAGGGAGACTGAGGCTGCCTGGCCTGAGGTGATTGATGAGAGGTAGAGAGGGGGAGTAAGAAGACAGGTGGGTACCTCCTTACTCCAGAGCCCCTAGATAGATCAGTTCAGAAAGGAAATACAACTCAAAGAGGCACCTGCACGTAATACCTAGACTAAATAGAATGCTTTCATGTGGTTGGATCGTCAGAGCGAGGTTTTATTTATTATTTTTATTTTTAATTCCGCTCTTCAATTTAGTGTGGTTGTTTAGGGAGCTAGCCTTCATAACAGTGAAGGAAACAAACCCCTAAACTAGCCCATCGTCCAAGGGGTTACACCTATCACTTTAAATAATACTTGTACACCTCATCTAGCTGTAGTTAAGGCTGACATTTTTATTTTTAAGCCCAATCAAATCCTTCTCATTTATGCTGTTTAAATAGCAGCATCAATTTTTAAAGCCTCTAGTTTAGTCTGCATTAGTAACACAATATAAAAATTTAATGTACTGTAACTTCTCTGCACTAGAGACCTGGGAAGAGGTTCTGTTACTTTCTTTCCAAACTAGAATTTAAAACAAATATTAATTATGGGTGAATAAATGATCCATTGGATGGTTGTGTCTGCGGGATGTGTATGTGTGTGTGTGTGTGTGTGTGTGTGTGTATGTGTGTGTAATGGGATATGAAGTAGGTGAAGGCAAATACCAGCTACATCTGAAAGGGAAGTTCTCTTTCAATCTGAAGCACTTTGGTTCTCCAGAAAGGGAAAAGTTCCTTCTCCTGCGCATCAAGAGCTGGTTCCAGCCATCAGCGCTGGGGTGGTGGATCAGAGGCCCTGTCTCTCACTGAGTCTTGCACCTCCTTACTTTCATTGGCATTGAGTTATCTGGCATACCTGGGCACTTCCCGGATTGGTTTTATGTTCTATAATTTTATAAAAGGCTCACAAATTGTTGTTTAGCTTTGGGGTGGGTGGGTGGGGACCCAAAACAAAAGGACAAAATAAATCTCTGTAGGAATAACTTTGCTCTCTTCCCCAGTTGTCTCCACCCTTCTCGCCCCTGCTTTAGTTCATCTTGCCAATTATTAGCGAGGAGAAATCTAGTTGTTATGTAGCTGCCAGCCACCCCTGCGCCCTTAATGCTCAGAGGGTTAAAAGATATTATAATTTGAACAGAAGTCGTCTCAAGGCCTACAGCTGGCTAATAACAGAGTTGTATTGAGCGCGAGCAAACCCCACAGCTGTGACTTTAGCCACAAGGCGCAGGCTAGACAGGGCCCTAATCAGATGGGCCAGCCGGGCAGTGGGGCCAGTGTCTTTATCGGCCAGATGGTGTGAATTTAGACACTTTTGTTATGCAATCGCAGGGAGGAGTTGGGGAGAAGAAAACAAAACAAAAGCCACCATGCTGTGCGCTTATTTGAGTTTGAAATTAGAGACAGATTTTTGAAAGTTGAGGGTTGAATTTTAAAAAACGATGTTGGAGGGGGAAAGGGACACATTAGCTTATCTTGAGCTGGAGTTTGAATCACTGGACACTCTCCGTCCAAAGCTGGGACTTTTATTATTATTAGGTTTTTTCCTTCCCTAGGCATCCTTTATCTCTCTCCTTTTTCTGTTTCTGAAAAATGCAGGTAAGATGCAGGATCCAGATAAAATTTCTCATATTTCCCTCCACTTCATACCCCTAACTTGTCTTGTTTTTTTCTCTTTCTTTTTTCAAAGACACTGTATGGGGACAGGGAGTGCTAAAAAGACTTGTAAGCAAATTGAGAGTGTTTCTAAGTAGAAGGTTCTCCTATATTGTACTGGAGTAAAATAAACCAAACCAACAGAGACACGCATTTTCATTCATTAGCAAAAAGAGTACCCTGAGCCCTTCTAGAGTAGTTAGGAACACAATCTTAACCTACTTCCAAGTGCAGTTTCTCTCTCTCTGTCTCTCTCTGTCTTCTTTGTTTTCCTGCTTTGCAGTTATCATCAACTTTAAAAAGAAACTTTGCTGGAACTTCAGACTTAGAGATTTGCTTGTTGGCAATAAGAGCCTTTTAACTGGAAGTAGCTGAACCTGAAGTTGGCCATACAGTCTTCTTCCACTGAGCAAAGGGAAAGCAACACTGAGTTTGTCATCTGAGTAATTCAAAGCCTGGCCTCTTAGGGTCAGCTGCCACCTTTCCTGGGAGGTGTGAGTCCACCAGTGTCTTGAGTTCCTTCCACTTCTCTTGCTTGTGTTAATAAATGATGAAATAAAGAACAAGTAGAATATATTAATGAGAATTTTTATTTAAAAAAAAGAAAGAAAAGAATTAGAGATCCTGAAAAAGTTTAGAGGCTCCGCTATGGAAATACAACCAAGTCCTATTATTTTTACACTTTTGTTTGTATAGTTCAATAGCCAAGTAAGTGTCTTTCTGTCTTTTCGCTGATGGATCTTAGCGTTAGTGATTATACTTGAATTTGTTACTGTTGGGAAAAAACAAGCTTTGACCCTGAAGTTTCTCTGCATTTTCCTTTGCATATCATTTGCTTCCCTGAGTGGATTCTCCACATTGTATTCCACTGGCACCAAGGGTACATTTTTGTCTGTTTTTCTTTTCCTCCAGAGGAAATCCCTATGGAAAGCAGCTGAACTCGGCTGAGCAATTTTACAAACTTACTGGGCCTCCTCCGAATCACTGCTCCCCAAGCCAGACAGATTGGCCCATCCTGACTGTGTGCTCTTGTAATTCAATGCTACTTGGCGTCGTATGCGTATTTGGGGTTAGGCTGACAAGTTGGCGATGTCAAAGGAGAGTCTAGCTTGAAGGTTTTTGGGTCACTGGCTTGTATCGGCCTTTTGAAATCGTGTTGCTAAGAAAAGTGGTTTGCCCGTACTACTCAGGCATTGCGTTAACATAAAGCAATCCTCCAGAAATCAGGGTGGGAACCGGAAATGGGTCACGCTAGGGACTCAGGAGAGACTGAGGTCTCTAAGAGGTGGGTGTGCAGCTGGCCAGCATTTTTATTGGTGTTCATCTTGGGATAGGTTGAAATTTTAAAAGTGAAGACCTAACATAATTTCAAAGGCCAAATATTATTTCAGAAAGTCCCAGTGGCAGACTCTGGTATTTAGGAAAGTCGAGACAGTTTTTCTTTACTTTTACTCTTTTGATTAAATTTCTTAAAACCTCATTGTGCCCATCTGATGAAAATGTTTTCGCATCTCTCCAGTGCAGTTCACTTCCTGAGCATGGCAGAGCTGTTTACTGGCTAATCCATACATCCCTGCAGGAGAGAGATGGGACTTAAAAGTTTTTGTAACATTAATTTATTTATATATTTTTAATTCCATGGGAGATGGGAGAGGGTCAGTGGACTACAGATTGCTGCAGAGCAAATTTAGGCCTGGACCAGGGAAAGCTTTTGGGTTCCTGCTGTCCTGTGGCCTCTCATTTTTCCTTATGCTACCATCATTTTCAAGGGGTGCTTATGGAATGCCATGGTCTCTTAACCTTAAAACAGAAGGGGCTTTAGAGAACACAGAGCCTAGCATCTTTGCCTCCCTGATACATAAAATGAAAGCTCTGAGGGGTTAAAGAGATTTGGCTAAATTCAGGCAGCTGGTTAGTAACAAGTTAGATGCCAGAGCCTGGATTCCCAGCTCAGCATTTTTTTCCTGCGGCACTGTATCAGTTCTGAGCTGCAGAGAAACCATCATGGGAAGGCGTGCTGGAGTGCAGTTTGGTTATTGTGAATACCTGGTAGACATTGTTTCCACTGGGTAGGGATGATCATGCTTTGCTCATAAGCTGTCATCAAGGGGACATCCTGAATGAAATACAGCTGATGGTAAGCAGTGTGTTTAAAGCAAGCTGGGAGGGACTCTGGAAGGCTGTGGCCTGCCAAGCATTTGGGCGACGGGTAGCTGGGCAGGGAGGTGATCCCCAGGCTCTTTTTGTTTTTCTCACTTTTGCCCTTGTATTTTGAACAGACACCTCTGCGTTGGGGTGCTCTGTTTTCTCTCGTGCTCTTCTGCATATTTCTGCTGCTTTTTATCTGGAGGCTCCTCTAACCACTTCCTCTGCACCAAGCCAACCCCTTCAGGACTGTTACCTAGCTGTCCATCTTCAGGTAGAATGTACTTTGGGGTCGAGGAGGTGTGGGAAGCGAAGGTTTTAGGATTGGGACTGTGGTGTACGCAAGTCTTAATTCTGTTCCAAATGTGGCCAAAGGCATCAGAAGTATCACTGTCCAGCTCCCTGCCCAATTTTCTTCCTATTTTAAAGTTCTGGTTTTCTTTCTTCATCTTTGGAGCATGATGGAAATCAATGAATGAATAAATGTTTATAAAGTACACCATGTTCTCCAGAGAAAGATGTCATGTAAATAAGATTTTATAATAATCCAGACAGCTACTTGTGGTCTACTTTATACACCTTCCTTCCACTTTGCTCTTCAAATTTTTATTGGTTTGCGAAGACCTAAAATATACAAGCATAAAATTGTTGAACCCGGCCTGGAAGTGACATAGTAGATCTTCAGAAATGTGCAATCGTAAAGTCATTGAACCCCAGTCTGGAAGAGATCTTATAGATATTAAAAACCAACCATCCATGTTTTGGTTATGAGCGTGGCTCTTGGGACTGTTGGGATTTGTGGAGGGCTAGCCAGGTTGTAAGTCAAAGAGTGAGAATTTGAATGAGTGTATTTTGGCTTTAGGTTCCTTTTTAAAAAATAAAATATAGTCACAAACTTTGCCCTCATGAAGCTTATAGCTGGGAGGCTATCTTGAATGTAATTTTTTTTTTTTTTGGTGAACATTCTAATATTGTATGTTCATTGTTTATTTTCTCTAATTTTATTATTTTTTAACTCTTTTGATTCTCTTCCAATCTACAGTCGATGTTGTGAAAAGAAAAGCTGTGGAAACCGAAACGAGACACCTTCGGACCCTGTGATCATTGACAGGTAGGGGAAGATGTGATTTTCAGATCAGTTTTGATTTCTTTCCTTCGTGAAACTCACTGATGAGTGCTGATTTCTTGAGCTGTGTGGGAAGGTTGGTTTCAAGCTTTCTGAAGGGGGTTAAGTGAATCCAGCAAGGGCTTTCTTGCGCTGTCAGCCACTCTTGGAAGAGGTCAGGATCTGTCTCTCTAGGTAGGACATACTTTTCCAAGTGCACTAATTTCAGCCTGATGAGAGGTAGATACATTAAAGCAGGGCAAAGTCTGCTTGCTGTCTCTCCTGAGTGGCAGGCATGGCTTCAGTCACTTCTCTAGAGGAGCAGTGCACCCCAGGTTCAATGGCATCTCTCTACCATGCTCAGTGACTGTGGTTGAGCTTGGATGTCAAATTGGAGCTTTTCAGTTTGGATCCCAGCACATGGCTTATAACCAGATCTCTCGTGCATTGTGGGAGACTCCTGCCTACCACCTAGGATCACAATCTGGGTTCCATGGTACATTCAGAGTGGGAAAGATTCTTTGGGACAAGATGTTAATTCACTGAAATGTGATTTAGGCATCCTCAGCTGTCTGTTTTTGTGATTGGAAACAGAACTTACAAACCAACGAAGAAATACCAAATTAACTTCCAGCAATCATGTACTTTTTAAGAAACCCCATATTCCCACCCCTAATCTTTTCTCTTTTGTTAAAAAACAGAATAACTCCCCATTGCTTCTTTCTTTGGGTTTTCATGTTTCTAGCCAGGCCCTGAAATGGGTTGGAGAGACCACAGTCTCCAAAGTTGTTATTCCAATATTCCAGTGAATTCTCAGTTGGGAGAGTGGAACCTCTGGCATTCTTCCCAGAAAGTCAGCTTGGTTTCCTCGTGGAAAGTATAGCATAGCCGTAGGAATCTAGGAGGCTGGATTTCTGATCCTGTCCTAGCTTTTGACCTTGGACAAAGTGCTCAGCATTTCCATTCTCCAGTGGTGTAGCCATGAGGTGGAGGGTGCTGCCTGCTTTGGGGAGCTTCAGGGGTCTACAAAGTGGCCGTGGCTAACTGTACTCTGAGATGCCTGAAGAGGATGCCTGGCAAGTGGAAAATGTTTAGTGGCTGGGTATGGCATCTTCGCCATTTTTGGAGCTGTTTGGGATTTCTCTGGAATTTCTGAAAGTACAGACAAGTACAGTTACAAAGACTCTCTGGGCTCATTCATCTTCCTCATTTTAGAGATGACAACACTGAGCCCTCAGTGGTGTCATGACTTGTGAGCTGGTAAGGCAGGCCTGGCACTAGTACGCACTTGTCATTACTGCTAGGTGTGTGCTCCTTTCTCGGCCACAGCCGCACCCTCCCAGCACACTCTGTGTCCTAACTGGTGATCTGGGTCTGCTGATTGTGCAGGGCATCACTTCCCTACATCCCAGGATGCCCAAGGGACCCACCAGGGAGCTGGCAAACAGCAAGAAGCAGGTCCCATCCTTTCCAGGGCATGGGCTGAGCTCACTCATGTTCATCTGGTCTTTTCCACCCAGTTTAGCTCCTCTTTCAGAAAGATACCCTAACCTCATAACTGTTCCATCTTTTCTTGTAATAAACACCCCAGAAAACAGCTTTAGAAGTGTTTGTAAACCTGTAAGCGCTAACCTGTATGTTACACATTACAAGCAAACGTCATGACTGCTTGTGGCAGTGCATACTTAAGGAACCGCATGTAATCTCCACCCTCTGCTAAAGCTGAATGTATTCATGCTCTTTTCTTGGGAATACATGTTACAAGCACCATGGAAAGTAGTCTTTTTGTATTGACAGAGAGACAAGATTTTCATATTTGTTGCCTTCAGAGTTTCTGCCTGAATCCCTTAAACTCTTCTGAGAAGGTGGAAACTATGTCTTTGTGGCATACAATGGAGTTTTATGTAACTGCAGTGTTTATTTTTAACGTCTTATGTGCATGAAAGCAGCCCATACCATACCACTTGAAATACCTGTGACTTCTGCGACGTTGCATGACTGCGTGTGGAAGCACCCATTCCACAGGGGATGGTGGATTGGCTGCTGATGGTTTTTTTTTTTTTTTTTTTTTTTTTTTTTTTTTTTAAGAGACTCTGTTTCATTATGTTCGTTTTATGGTGGGGCTTGTGTTTGAGTGTATTAATCCCTCGCCCAAACCTTGTCATATTGTTTCCCATTACTTCAGGCATACCTGAGCCTTTTTGCCTCCATTTTCAAAAGCAAAAGAGTAGAAAGGACAGTTGCCAAAGTGTTTGGTGGAGGGAGGGTAGCCATGTACCATCTGGGGGTTTGGTTGAGCTGTGGTCCTGCATCTGCCAGCCTGGAAGTGTCATGTTCCCTCACAGAGCCCTGAAAGGGTACAGAGTTCAGATTTCCTTGGGGTAAATAGAGAATGCTCTTCGCTGCCCTTGTTCCTATAGCGCCAACTAATTATCTCCTCCTGCTTCTCGCTCCATCTCACTAGATGCAGTTAATTTATACTGTGCCTTGTTGAGTCTCCTCGCACAGCAGCCAAAGTCCCCTCTGGCTCAAGGGAAGCCCGTTTATTCTCTAGAAATTGTGCATGTTTGTGGAAGGGGAGAAACTCAAGGTGGGTTCTCAAACTTTTCACCTCTAGGACCCCTTTTCATTTTGCCCTGGTGAACTCAGGTCTCGCAAGACAGCGCCTTCCAAGGTCCTATGAATAAGTACTAATACAGCAATAATTCTTTTCACTAACCAAACATATGCAGCAAAGGGAGGGCAAAACTTTTATCTCAGGTGTGTCATGGGTGTCATGAATGGCCAGCCAGAGTTTGTGATCAGTAAGAGGCAACCTGTGTCACCACTTACACGTGAGACTTTCCACTTTAAACGACTTGGCTTTTCGGTGAGCCTGTGTGACCAGGTGTCAGTAGATGTGCTGGCGATATGAAAAGTCACTTTTACCACATTTTGGCTAAGAGTCCCATCAGGGACTTTCATTTTCTGTTTCCAGAGACAGCCCCCACTTGGAGGTATGCCCCCTCCCCCGACAAATCACTACCTGCCTTGATTTCTGTAGAAACTTGAATTTATTTTTGATTTTCAGTTGTCTTTTCAGCATGATTTTGTGGATTTTGGGGCCTCTCCAGGCCCACGCCCAATCCAACAGAACTTGTGGCTGTATCTGAGGTCACCAGGTTGCCAGCAGCACCTTCTCCTGTCTGAAAAGTATGGCCTGGGAGAAGGGTTTATTAATTTTTAGGGTGAAAATCCAAAGTTCTCCTTTGAAAAAGAAATAACAAAATACAACCTAACAAAACAAAACAATGAAGCATCATCCTTCCTGTGGGCTGTATTGATTTATCTGTGAAAATCTGTATGGTAAATAAAAATAAAAGGCATGAACCGGTTTGTATTATGGTTCAGGGAAAAGTTGTAGCTAAACTATGTTTGTCATAGACTGAAGTGTCTTGCAATGTGCTTCTTTATCTGGTGGTTTCTTCTGAATATCTGGATTCTCTGGGGCTCCGGATAACATAGCAGCCCATGGAAAGGGGACTTTCGGGACAGCCTCTGGGAGAAAGAAGAATGTTCCTATTGTTTCTATTTTTGCAAAAGTTCCATATACATCAGATGGATGCAGGAGACAAGGTTTCCTTTTGGGTCTTTGTGGGATGCTCTGGCCAGGTGCATTCTGGGAAGAGAAGGCTTTTTTTTTTTTTTTTTTTTTTTTTGTTAAAAGGAAGGATCCAATCTATTTCTTTTGGGCTAAATATCCAGTCTTTTGTCCGGGGACACTGGTCTCATATATTTCTGAGCTTTTTTCCCAGGAGGACCCATGTTAAGCATTGATATGTTTTGATTTTCCTTTTCAAGAAGTTTGGTGAACAAAAGATCCTTATGCAAAAGATTTGCTCAAAAATATCTGTGGTTTAATTGCCCATGAGGCATTTTCCTGACATTTGATTTATTTCTGAAACAAATTGTTTTTGAAATGATGGTAAAATATGCATGACGTAGAGTTTACCCACTTCACTGTTGTTAAGTTTACAGTTCTGTGGTGGTAAATGCGTTTTTGTTACTGTGCCACCAACACAACCATCCATGATGGGACTCTTTCTGTCTTGAAAAACTGAAAATTCTGTGCCCACCACACAACTCCGCATTCCCTCCTCTCCCACTCCCACCACCTGCCGTTCTGTTTTCTGTCTCTGAACCACATGTATGTGGAGTTGTAATCACTTTGTTCTCTGGTGACTGGTTCATTTCACTTAGCGTAATATCCTTAAGCTGTCTCTGTGGTGTCGTATGTGTCGGAATTTCCTTCCTTTTCTATTGAATAATATTCCATGGTATGTATGTATAAAGCACATTTTACTTATTCCTTCTCTGGAAGTGGACACTTGGTTTACTTTGACTTCTTGTCTATTGGAAATGATGCTGCTGTTAACCTGGGCATAAAAATATCTTTTCAAGTCCCTACTTTCAATCATTCTTTTTGGCGGGTGTCTAACCAGATGTGGAACTGTTGGATCATATGATAAATTTGCTTTCAAGCTTCTCAGAAACTACCAGACTACTTTCCACAGTGTCTGCAGCATTTTATATTCCCATCAATAGAGCACAAACAGTTCCAGTTTTTCTACATCTTTGCCAACACTTATAATTTTCTGTCATTATTTTTTGATAGTAGCCACCCTAATGGGTGTGATTCTTTTTCCTCTTTTTTTCTCCTCCTCTTCCTCCTCCTCTTCTTCTTGTCCTTCTCCTTCTCTTTCTTCTCCTTCTGCTTCTTCTTCTTCCCCTTCCTATTTCTCTTCTTCTCCTTTCCCTTTCCCTCTCCTCTTTCTCTTCCTCTTCTTTTTTTCCTCCTTCTCTTCTTCCTTCCCCTCCTCTTCCTCCTTTTTCACAAAGCTTTCTCTGGCCGCCATCTTGGTGGATGGGCATCCTTCCTGGTTCCTGTCAGCTGTGGTCCGGGCTTCTCTTAGGCCCTTCCCTACCTGCTTCTTTTTACCTCATGACTACCATGTTCCTTCAGAGCA